GTGTTTAAGGTTTTTCTCACACGATCGAATTCTCGTGTTTTTCATCCTCTCTTCTCACACAAACTCTCGTGATTAAGGTTTTTTTTTTCATTCTCTCCTCTCGCACGAACTCTCGTGATTAAGGGTTTAACTGGATCTTCCTAGACTCTTGATACCATGTTAAATTATGTTTGAATAATTATCACTGTTAAATTTATGGGGAAAATATTTTCTCATTGTATTTTCCCATTCATAATATTCGGCCACATTACAATATATATAGACAATAGGAATATCTAACCTAAAGTTCCTTAATATCTTAATTTCCTATAATATATCACATATATCTTTTCACAATAATATCTCATATGATATAATTCTCATAATATCATATCACAATATATATTTCTATCTCAATACAATTAATTAACTACCAACTCCATACGAACAACTAGCATAATTAAAATTAATTTAATTATCAACAACGACCCATGGAAAGGTAAAGATTAAAGTTAAATTTAACCAAAAAGTTTCATAGAAAAAAAATATAATTAAAAAAAAATTTAAAAAAATAATAAATAAACAGAAAGTTTGGTGCTACACTGCTAAACACCACCACCCCGGATACGAGCCATTGACATCCTGTCGCAAGTGTGGCTAATGGTGGGCAAGACGAGCTCTATCTCGAATAATTTAATTTCCTAAAAAGGAAATACTACAATAAGTATGAAACTTTCTAAAGAAGCAAGTGGTGCAATAAAAAAAACGAGGAAATATTAGCTATTAGTCTAGGCTCATTTCATATTATCTCAAAACTAGGTTTTATATAAAATCAATTTTTATAATTTGTACATTTTTTAAAAAATGGATAAATATAAATAAGAATTATGCACCATGTGCAAAAATATCTGTACTTTTAAAATTTTATTTTCATGAAAATTATGATATAATACATGTTCAACGTCGCCTAATACATATTTCAATGTAGGAGTCTATTTATTAGTGTGCTACTTAAAATTATTTCATTTTTTTAAGGATAAATTGATAGGTTGTACTTGTAATGTAGAAGCTGTTAGGCGGGAAAATTTATATTATGAGAGTGACATCATCCTTGCAGTTAGGCGGGAAAATTTATATTATGAGAGTGACATGTACACAGTGATGACGTCAACAACGTTTTGTTTTAGTTTTAGTTAATAGATTTAACACATAATATACAGGAGCATGAATAATGTTCATAGAAATATCCATAACTCAAACTTAGCACATTTAACTAAGCTACTTATAATAGGGGGTAAATCGAATTTGAATCAGCTTTTTCCCAATTTAGAAATTTAGATACCTTATTTTTCGGATCGAATCAGATCGAGTTCCCGAAAATGGAAGACAAGCAAATACAAAAGATGGGTAAGTTTTTTTTTTTTTTTTTTGGAGGGGAAAAGATGGGTAGTTTTTCATGCCCAAGATGTGATTAAAAAATATGACTAAAAATTTTGCAGGTTTACAAGTCTTTGATTAATTATTTTTTGTAATATAAACAATGTAAGTGAATCTTTGTTTTTAACTAGTGGATCCTAGGACTTAAATTAGATCCATCGAATAGTAAGTCATGACAAAATTCAAGGAATCTTAATTTATTTTCTTATTGTGAACTTAATTAGACCAACAAAGAACCCTCATTATATTTTTATTTATTTCTGTGCTAACGTACCACATAGCGTAAGCTTCATGCATCATGCTTTTGTTAGAGAATAGGGTAGTAAAGTTTCTATAAAAGGCTCTAAGTTATTGGTAAACTTCCTCATTCAAATCCTGTCCAACACAAGTAGCAATCATCACCTCGATCACAACTTGTATTTGGGTCGGACTTGAGTTTATATAGTAGAGTTATCAAGAAAAAAAAATGGCAAATCAAGTTGTTGGTAGTCATGAAAAGTCATTTAAGCTACAAAGCTTTCATAAGTTTGTACGATCAAACCCGAAATCAGATAAATTTAAGGTGAAAAGGTTCCACCACATCGAGTTTTGGTGTGGTGACGCATCCAACACGAGCCTCCTTTTTTCTAAGGGGCTTGGCATGCCTACGGTTGCCAAATCTGACCATTCTACTGGCAACCTTGTACATGCCTCGTACGTATTGCGTAGCGGTGACGTCCACTTCCTCTTCACCGCTCCTTACTCTCAATCTTCGTCTTTTACGGCCTCCATACCTACGTTTAACTATGAATCCCACTCCTCTTTTATGTCCACTCACGGGTTTGGTGTTCGCGCTGTGGCCCTTGAGGTGGACGATGCTAAGTCCGCCTACGCCACTAGTGTGGCAGCTGGGGCTCGCCCTTCCTCCCCTCCCATCCTCTTAGAGGACAGGCATACCCTCCTTGCCGAGGTCCATCTCTTTGGTGATGTAGTCCTTCGGTTGGTGAGCTGTGCACATGCATCTAATTGCAACAACTTTCTACCCAAATTTGCTCAAGTGCATGGATCAAGAACCGAATTCGGGTTCAAGAGCCTAGACCATGCCGCAGGAAGCGTGCCTGAGCTAGCCTCCGTTATGGAATACATAATGAGGATAACCGGGCTCCACGAGTTTGTAGAGTTTGCAGCCGAGGACCTAGTTGGAGTCACTGAGTCCGGGCTCCAATCCGTGTTCTTAGCAAACAACGACGAATCTGTTTTCCTAAACTTCAGCGAGCCAGTGTATGGCCAAACAATGAAAAGCCCTATAGAGACGTTCATAAAACGTAACAACGGTCCAGGAGTGCAACACTTAGCTCTCATCACAAACGATATAGTCAAAACCTAAGAGAGATGAAGAAGACATCATTATTCGAATTCATGCCGCCACCAGAAGGCGATTACTACCAAAAACTAAAGGCGGTGGCTAGCGATTTCTTAACGGAGGAGGAATTACAAGAATGCGAGGCGTTAGGGCTTAAGGTGGACAAGGACCATGAAGGTGTTATAATCCAAACATTTACAAAGCCTATTGGAGATAGACTTACTATATTCATTGAGGTCATACAAAGAATTGGGTGTATGATTCAAGGAGAAGATGGCAAGTTTAACAAAAGGGTGGGTGTGGTGGATTTGGCAATGGAAAGAATTTTAATGAGTTGGTTAAGTCATTGGAGAAATATGAAAGGACTATCATTACTACTGAGAGTTAATTAAACTCTTGATAACATCGATCGAGTGTTGTGCAACAAGTCCTATTGTTCCAACATAGTATGGTTTAATTTAATGCTATATATGTTATAATATCAACATGGTTTTACCATGCTATTAGAGTGTGGGTTTTACATGTTGAGTATACAATAATTATGTGTTGAGCCTTTAATTAGGTTCCAACTGGTGAGTTATATGTGCTTTAATTATTAGCTCTTTAATTAGTATAATGGTCATCAAATAAACTGTATAACCTTTGACCATTTTATTACTCTAATGTATTATCATACCATATGTATAATACTTAGAAAAAATTGATTGCAATAATCCCAACTTTCGGCGATCTGCTCAAAATAATTCCAACTATCATCATTCTCAAAATAATCCCAACTTTAAAACAATCTGCTCAATTTAGTCCATAATTGTTGAGTGGTGTTAGTAACCTATAAAATAGGTTAATTAGACAAGTGTTTTGTTTTCATTGGTTCTAATTTAATTAATCAAAATTTTATATAATTAACTTTAAAAAATTAGCTTTTGATTAGTTAAGTAACCCAGCCCACACTATATATAGCCATGTAAGCCATCCACCAGTCCGCCACCATTAACACACCAAATCACCACCGTCGTTGCCCACCACAACTCCACCATCACTGTCATTAACCCCAATACACCTTATCACACTACAAAACCTCTGAATTGTACTCCACCAGATAAATCACAATGAATTGTACTTGATAATTAGAAGCACCATTAATATAATATATCCGAAGTATATTATATTCGTATGTAGTACTTTCTCTAGGTTTTTTTTTTTTTATTTATTTTATTTTATTTATACTTGCAAATAACATATATATACTTTCTTGGCTTAGGAAATGATTATAAAAGGCAAATGAGCGAATTAAGTTATAAAATTATAATTGTAACAACATAACACTTTCTTCTTATTAACAATATTAAAATTATTACTAATTAATTTGACCATTTGGCTAACTTAATATCTTCTTTTAAGTGCATGTTAAACTGGTGTGTTGTAAATAAATAAAAATTAAGTAGGTCCTAAGTGAAATCTAAAATTTTTGTCGTGGAGAGAGCTACAAGGATAAGAAGACATATGTGATCTATGTCAATATTGGGTATAATCATCTAACCTAGTTTATATTTACAAATGATTATTAATAATACTATTGTTTAGTACTTCACATAATAATATTTAAATAATTCATGGTCGAATCCAGGAATAATAAATTTTTACCACTAATCACATGTAGCAATATTATTTAGGGTATAATTGAATATACAATTAAAATTTGTATAACTAGAAATAAAATATAACTACGCTAATGCACGAGATACATCCAAAAGATACTCTTACTAAAACATGATCAAGTAGATTTATGGGTCGGACAAGGCCACACATCATGCCGGTGGGCCCGTATAATATATAGTATATTTTATTTTAATGTGAAGTAATTAAAAATAAGTCGAATGTCATGTAGGTTGGCCTATTAGGCTTGTACCAGACTCATCATGCTAAAATTTTAAAATGATACTCATTCAAAACCCAAACCCATCAATGATTGTGCAAAGCTCATCTTAGAATTGGTCATGTCGTGTCATATTTGACCAACTTATATATCAATTTGACCCATGTTCAACTCTATATTTGAGAAAAGGAATAACTTTATATCAGCCCAAATGTCCTAATACTACACACTAAACTGATCAACTTGGAGATTGAGCCCAAATGTTACTTGTATGTAAAATCGAGCCCCTTATGGCCATCAATTAAAGCTAAAAAGTCAACCCAAACATGGGAAACAACAACAAAAACAATCAACCCAAATGGCAATTTCGCGCAATCGCGCAGTACTCAATCAACAGACAACAAGCACATGAAACGACCAGCAAACAGTTAAGCCAACTCAACCAAAACAAAATCAAAAGAAATCACCGAATATATTCACGCCCCTGTTATTCTCTCTCCTCTTTACACGCTCAAATCTCCAAAACGTGTCCAATTTCTCAACAATCTTCTTCCAAAAGTAACCCAAATCAAAAGCATCTTTCTACTATTTCAACCCATCTTCTCATTTTCTTCAAACAATCAAACCCAGAAAAACTAAAGAAAAAAAAATGGTAGGAGCAAAGAAATTCGGAGTAGCAGTTGATTTTTCAAAGAGTAGTAAATGTGCACTTCAATGGGCAATTGATAATTTGGCTGATAAGGGTGATACGTTATATTTAATCCATGTTAAACCATCTTCTCATGATGAATCTCGTAATCTTCTTTGGAGTAAATCGGGTTCTCGTATGTCATCTTTGCTCATTACTTATTTCATACTTTTCGCCTTCGGATCATACTTTATAGTTTCATCGATCTATTGATTAACTTATTGGAATTTATTGTGCAGCGCTTATTCCTTTGGTGGAGTTTAGGCAACCGGAAGTTATGAAGAAGTACGAGGTTCAGACTGATATTGATGTTCTTGATATGTGTGATACTGCTTCTCGTCAAAAAGAGGTTTTTTTTTTTATAAATCAATTGCTAATTTTTTTTTTTTTTTTTGGGGGGGTTTTTGTTAGTTACTGATTTTTGTTGTTAATATGTTTTGGGATGAATGAAGATACATATTGTAACGAAGATATACTGGGGAGATGCAAGAGAGAAGCTTCTGGAAGCAGTTGATGATCTGAAATTGGATTCTTTGGTTATGGGATGCAGGGGACTCAGTGGTCTTAAAAGGTATTCTTAATTTCTGTTTATTATATTTATTAATTGCTGTTTATTAAATTCATTAATCGATATATTTTGGTGTTATATTACAAAATTGGGGAGGATTAACTTGTAGATTAATACTTTTATGAGATCTGTTCTGCTTTCTGACTTCATTTGAGTTAAACATAAAGTGTTTAATTAAAGAATTGAATTGGTGATTGGTGATGTCGACGGGATTTGATATGAATGTCCGAGACTTCATTTGAAAGACTTGTGCACATAATGTTACGGAGTATGTTAATTGAGACAGACTTAACCCCACTTAGGTTATTGATGATCGCGACATGTTAGCATACTGCGTCTCTTTCTAACAATTAGACGAATTTTTAAGGGCAGGGGATCCTCAATTCCTCGTACAAATCGATAATAAGTTCAATGTCCCATTGTTTTCTGTCACAAACAAAGCTTAGTTTAGATGCGTTACTTTAATTCAATGGTTAATTCCTAATCAACGTAACTAATTTAAGGCTGGTTACTTATTTTTCAGGATTATCATGGGAAGTGTGGCGAACTATGTGATGAGTAATGCTACTATACCAGTAACCATTGTCAAAGAGCCCGGATTCCAGAGGGCTTGATTTAGCTGTACTAGTCTGATATCGCTGGCTATACTTGTTGAGAGTCTTGAGACTGATTGCTCATCCATTAGCCGGCTATTACCTTTGAAGTTCATAAATCGATATCTGTTTCTTGATGATCGGATATCTAGTTTTACAATTTGTTGTTATACACTTAATTCAAGTACTTGGTGTTGCTAATAATGTTGGGATGCCTTTGGACCAGTTCAGAGCTCGATATCTATGCCTAGATTATCAGATATAAAATCTCACAATTTGTTGCTATGTACTTGATAGTACTTGTGTTCGCCTTCAAACCGGTTTAAAGCTCGATATCTGTTGCAAGATCAGATACATTTGACAATTTGCTGCACTGATGTATCTGATTTAGTGTTCGCTTAATCCTTGTTTGGTACATGTCTTTTAGCCAACAGTTTGGTTGGATTTTAGCTTTTGGATTTTACATGTTTTCAATTAAGCTATAATGGCTTATTTTACTCAAAACTTCAAAGGGTTGAATTTTTTCAACATATTATGTAAACTATATCGTGCTAGCATCCGGCTCAAACAATCAATTCTACCACATATTACATTATTACAGAAGTCAACTGAATTATGGGTGATTGCAGCCTAAAAGTGTTAATTACATTTGAGAGACCAAACAACCACTAGTAAAACTTGTGGAGTCTAATTGTCGCGTTTTTTGCAAAGTTTAAGGTGCTACATTATTACATTGTGCTGTACTCAGTGTATTTATACTTAAAAAAAACAAGTTCAGATGTCATGTGGTGCTCCACTAAAGTGTTAACCACTGAATTATGTCATATTACATACTTCCTCCATTTTAATACTATTACAACAACTGGACTTTTACACTATTCATCACGCTTGTTTTACCACATATTATGATTTATACGTAAAGTAAAATATTGTCATGTAGGGTCTTGTTAGATTCTTCTCGTAAATTACTTTCACAATATCAACTTTTTATAATTTTTACTCTTATGTAATTATAAAATATGCTTTGGGATGCGTAATTTCATCCTTTTTGCAGTATTTGTAGGAGATAAATAGGTATTATTATGACACATATAATGCTAAGTAAGTGATTTTTGGATAGATTTTTTAAGATAAAATTGTTGTATAGAATTTTATTATCGATATAATTCTAATATTTCAGGTATACAAAATAAATCATAACTTTTAATAAATATCCTTTATAGGTATTATTGTGACACATATTATGCTAAATAATCGAATTTTAGATAGATTTGAAGATAAAGATGTTGTACAGAATTTTATTATCGATACACTTCTAATATTTCCTATATACAAAATTAATCATAACTTTTAATAAAAATCTAATAACTTGGTTCTATTTTCATCCTAAAATTCGTTTTAAAAAGTTCTTTAAAATAAGATCCATTTATACTATATTTAAAATAATAGAGAATTAGTAAAAATAAGTTTTAATCGGTAAAAATACTTTCAGTTTAGTAAAAATAATTTAAGTAAAAACAATTTATGCCATGATCAGTATAGGTGTTCTTGGATTTCTTGTTTGGGCTCATCATATGTTTACTGTGGGCTTAGACGTTGATACTCGTGCTTACTTCACCGCAGCTACCATGATCATAGCGGTCCCCACTGGAACTAAAATCAGTGGATCGCTACCATGTGGGGGGGGGGGGGGTTCTATGCAATACAAAACACCCATATTATTTGCAGTGGGGTTCATCTTTTTATTCACTGTAGGGGGACTCACAGGAATAGTCCTGGCTAATTCTGGGCTAGACATTGCTCTACATGACACTTATTATGTGGTCGCACATTTCCATTATGTACTTTCCATGGGAGCGGTTTTTGCTTTATTTGCAGGACTTTACTATTGGGTGGGAAAAATCTTTGGTCGAACATACCCTGAAACTTTAGGTCAAATTCAGCATGTCTAAATATCCTGCATTATCAAAAGTGATTATATGACCGTATTTAACATTCAAGTCAAAATGTTTATCCGAAAATTCAATAAACAACCTGAGCATCTGGGGCACAATACTAGTCACTAATAAATAAAGTCGATCTCGTAGCTGGGCCACGAGACAACGACACTTGACACTCCAATTTTTCTCCAGGTGTCGTGCCACATAGGTGATAAATATTTGTTAAACATCGCCCACAAATTACTACATAAAGCCCACAAAATTCACTTGGTTTGACAATATTGCCCTTGACCTAAAAAAAAAAACACTCACACTCTCATCGCTCATCTTCTTTCAACCTCTCTAAAAAAAAAAATCAAACAACGGCAATGTCGAGGCGGCAAGGCAAGGAATTGGCGGCGGCGGCGGAGGGAAGGAGGTCCCAAGGAGGCAAGGTACAATTTGTAAAAAAAAAAAAAAAAAAGGAAAAACCGCCGTGACGGAGGTGGGGCGCCCTGGCTGGACGCCCAGCCAGCGGTGGTGGCGCCAGCTGTAGACGCCGCCACCAGTAGGCTGGCGCCTGGGCTGGACGCCATAGCCACGGTTGTGGCGTTTATTCAAGGCGCCGCAGCCGTGGCTGTGGCTAGGGGTGTACAAAAATTGGCCCGGACCTGAAACCGGACCTGAACCGGACCGGACCTGACCCGGACCTGTTGATTCGGGTCCGGTCCCGGTTCTTAAAAATCCAGGTTCCCGGTCCGGACCCGGTCCAAACCCGGGGTTTTCAGGTCCGGACCTGAAACCCGGGAAAATCGTAATTAAAAAAAAAAAAAAAGAAGAAGAAAACCAAACTCTGAAAAATTGAAACTGAGTTTTCGTGAACTTATTTGTATTTTCGGTGGACTCATTTGTATTTTTGGTGTTTGAGAATCGGGACTTTATAGACTTTATGTAGTTTTGTAATTGATAATTTTGGTTTGTATGTAATTATTAAATTATGCAACAGGTCTAAAAATCACAAAACAGGTCCATATGCAGGTCCATATGCAGGTCCAACAGGTTTTGTATTAAAAAAAAACGAAAAAGACACAAAACAGGTCCATTCAGGTCCAAACCCGGACCGGACCTGATTTTTCAGGTCTGGCCCGGAACCGGACCTGTTAATTCAGGTCCGGTCCCCGGTCTTCATAATTACCCAATTCAGGTCCCCGGTCCAAACAGGTCCGATCCAGGTCCGGTCCGGTTTTGGACCGGTGTACACCCCTAGCTGTGGCGTCCAGCCCAGGCGCCAGCCCACTGGTGGCGGCGTCTGCAGCTGGCGCCGCCACCGCTGGCTGGGCGTCCAGCCAAGGCGCCCCCCCCCCCTTTTTTTTCTTTTTTTTTATATTTGTTTTAAAATATTGTTTTTTTTTTTGTGTAATATCTTTTTGAATTGTTTTTATATTTTGTTGTTTATTTTTATAAATTTTTTCAATTTTGTTGTATTTTTTCTATGTTTATATTTTGTTTACAATTATTTGTTTGTTTTTTTTGTACATTTTTATTTTTATTCTCTATTTTGATTTGTTTTTATATTTTTTTTGTGACTTTGATATTGTTTTTGGTTAGTTAATTTATTTTAAATTTTATTATTGATATTGTTTTTGGTTAGTTAATTTATTTTAATTGGGAATGAATTATTTATGTTTATATATATTCCTCTGTGTTGGTTTTATTTCCTTTCTAAGTGTATTTTTTATTCTATTATTTTTATTTAAGTGTTTTGTTAATTTCTTTATTATGTTAATTTGTTAGTATGTTTTTAGTTTATTTGATTTGGGTAGTGGTAGCTATTTTTCGTATAAATTTTTGTATGTTTATATATTTTAAAATTTTGTGTAGAATTCACTGGGTCGTCATGGTGCGGGGAAGAATGTAGAGCTTCTTAGTAGAAGCTATTCAGTGGAGAGGTCGGGGCATAGACATGTCAGATCCCGTGGTATTTCGGCCTCAGCTCGTAGAGAACGGATCCACCGTCGGGATGAGGATGACGATGACGATGATGATGCTGAGGAGGGTGACCAGGAGGAGGAGCAGGAGGAGGGCGCAGATGAGGATGAGGATGTGGACGATGGCAGTGGACCGTATGATGATTACGGTCCATTCAGTCAGAGGGTTGATGACATGTACGAGACACATATGGTGGAGGTGCGTAAGGGTAGGGGTGGTAGGTTTGTTAGTAGATCTGGCACATCATCTGCGTCCACTGTATCTGGGGCAAGCAGGAAACGGTCGAGGGCCGGTAATGATTCTTGGGTTGTTAGGAGTGAGGTGCCCGGTGGGCCTGTTGACGGGAGTGTGATTCCTAGCTTTCTAGGACACATAGCTGCCCGTATTTGGGAGGACCAGGAGAGGCCTTCAGTTACGGGGTTGTTGAAATGTCATACCCGGGAAAAGACTTGTAGCTTTTTGCGTACATGGGCTGAGGCTTGGCCGGCGGAGAGCGAGATGTTCCAGCGACTGGAGGGCACTGGGGTGAATCACGTTCCTGCCACCATGCACGATAAGATTGACAGTACGCTAATCACGGCTTTCATTGAGCGATGGCAGCCGGATACAAACTCTTTCCACCTTCCGTTGTCTTTTAATTAAGTTTTATATGTTGTTATTGTATTTCATCTTTTGTTTTTTGTTGTATGCAGTGGATGGGAAAGATAATGCAGGACGTACAGAAACTCTCTCTTGAGAAGGACAGCATGAGTGCAACAATGAGAGCTGTTGTTGATAGTCTGGAACAGACCCTTGCACAGTGGGAGTCGTCGTCGAGGAGGGATTACTGATGGTTTTGTCATTTTATTTATAGAGCACTTTAAATATTATCGTTTTAATTTATTAAATTGGACATTATGTTGTAAGTTTGTAACATTTTAGATTGTTCTTTTAGCTTCCAACTTAAACATATTATCATTGCTGTTTTTAAATTTTGATATAACCGTTCGTGGATCCGCGCAACTTACCCATGCAACATATAGAATGCAGTAAGCAATACAATATAAAAGATTAATGTTCTCATTAAAAGAGCAACGTACAAATAAGATTACATAGGAAGAATGTAAACATGAAAAACTAAAATGCAGCTAGGGTGTTCCATTCGTGGATCCGGTCATGATATAGCGCATCCCAACCCTCTACGCTTGCTGTGCGAATGTTGTACCACCGAGGTATAATCGGTGGCACTGGAAAATCGGATGACATGTCTAGTCGGATGAAATGTCAATATGACGACCCAAGAAACGCAATAGCTAGCTCTCTGACCGGTGTGGTGACAGTCTCACGCGACCGCCATGGGAGAACCGTGGTACAAGGATAATAAGCTTGACTATGCACTCCCAGGCCGAAATGCATGACTGCGCATTTGTAAATGTTTGCAACGGCAAACAGATCTAGGGGCGCATCAAAATAATGATTTTGGCCGCAAGGTCCACCTCCCCACCGGATACACCGCAGAGCGCCATCCAAGTCATCCTGGTACACATGACGATAAACATTTCGGTTAGAGGCAATTTCGCTGTACAT